GCTGCTCACCATCCCAAAATCTGTTAGTTTTGCTGTGAAGTGTATGCCGTTGTGACAAATTAAGATGTTTCTAGCTGCCACGTCATTGTGTAAAAGTCCTCGTCTGTGCATCTCATGGAGGCCCTTTGCAACCTCGGATGTCATTGTGATGCATTCAAATCCAGTTATCGTCGGACGTCCGGTTTTCATCACACTTAATAAGGTGGTACTGGTGTAAGTTTGATTGTCGCCAATAAATTCTTGTACCATTCTGCATTCGTTACCTTCACGAAATACGCCGTAAACGTCTGGGAATGATGGTAAACCTGACAAGAATTCCATTACTCTTGCCTCCAGGCACATCTGGTTCCAAGCATCCTCAGGATCTTTGTAGGACTTCATGGATGCTCTCTTTACAGCAACCAGGTGATGGTAGCCAAGGATATTAGATGTCATGAGGTTAACACGTCCAAAGCTACCACTTCCAAGTTCCACCGGGGTTGCAAGAGCAGAGACGCTTGATGAATCTAGTAGCTTGATTGGTGGAAGAATTAGGTTAAGATGTTGTGCTGTTGCATCCAGTTTTCCAACAGGTAGTCCGGTAGTGATTTGGGCGGGTCTCGAAAAGTTAGAGGAGCTGCTAGAAGATAATGACGACGATGGTAGTGGCGATTGGGAATTTGAAGTAGATGATGAAAGTGATGATGATGATGATGATGATGATGATGATGATGATGATGATGATGATGGTGATGATGATGATGATGATGATGATGATGATGATGATGATGAAAGTGAAGATGTTGATAAGGATAATGAAGAATATGGTAATGGCGTTGCTGGAGGTGATAGTAATGATACTGAATTTGTTGGTGATGATGATGATGATGAAGAAGTTGCTACGATAGATGATGATGAAGTAATCTTCACTTTTTGATCAGAATTCTTCAGTTCCAAACTTTCTTCAAGGCTATAAGAAAATGTTTTAGTTATACAAGTTGATAATATAATAGAAGTAGTCTGCTTTCCAGTTACAAGTTGGTTGGGAGTTGGTGTAACATCGGGTTGAGTTCTGGTATTATTTTCAGCTATTTTATCGACTTTTGCCGTCTGTCGATTATTATCTGCAGCATTTGTTGTTTCGTTGTTTCCTCGAATGCATAGCAAACGAATGACTGCTTGCCACACACGATTTAAAAATGATCGTCGCCTGGTTGGTTGTTGTTGATGCGACTCTGTATCTTGTCCAGATCTGTTTCAATGAAAAAATGTTGTCAATATACTGTAATATAAATAAAAGCAATAATGAAAAATAGAGCAACAATAATAATAATAATTAAATACTGTATAATAATAATGATGATGATAGCATTAGTATAATAGTCATTGTAGAAAAAAAAATCGGTTTTATTCTTTGAAAAAAATGAATGGCAATATAAAAAACGAGATGAGCTTATTTCACATATTACACAACAATTCGTTTAAGTAATAACACATTATAAAAATTCCGTAATGTACTTATAAATGTACAAATAAACTGAAACACAAATCATAATTATATATTTATTTATTATATGGCTTTCCATCGAATTGGAAAAATAGAAATTTACATTATTAATGGTTACATAATATGTCTTGTTTATGAACAAACGGTACAGATGATCGTATAAAATTAATTTCCTTAAATAAATGAATAATGCCTGGAATGATTAATTTATTGACGATTATTTTGTGTGTCAATATTATGAGACTTTTTGGAAACTTTCTTTCGATTTTAGACTCGAAAGATATGGGATGGGCTACCACAACGGCCGCGCAAGACTCTTGACAACGGTCTGACATGCCAAAAAGAGCAGCCATCTGGGCTTAGAATATTTTCATCTTTTTAAGTTCTTGTAAAAGTATAATTTGTTTTTAATCTACCTTCCTTTTGATCTCGACAAGTTCATCTTCAAATACTACACTTGTTTTGTAGTAGAAATTGTAATAAAAACGATTCCGATTTGTAAAATCAGTGAAGTTGTGAGCAGTGAAATTATAACAAACTATGAGCATCAAGTCTCAGTTTGGTTTGTTTGTATAGTTGCTACGTGTTTTTTATGACGTGCACATATTTTCCGCGCTATACGCGTAGAATATAGAACATGCCTATCCATAGTACGCGTTGAGTCAACGAAAAGGCTCATGGGATTGATAACAGAGCGGAGTGAAACCATAGAGCTATTAAACAACTCTTAAATTCTTATTATATCTCTATGAGTGAAACAAAATTAGTGCTGTGTAATTTTTGTTTAGAGATACTTGAACATAGACACGGCTAGTGTACATGGAAATTAAACCGAATATTTGCTTTCTTTTCTTTGTCCTTTATTTTCTTTTCGCTTTTCTCACTCCCCACTTACCCCCGCCCCCCCCCCACCAAACTCTCTCTCTCTCGTTTTGAGCGAGGGAGGGGGACTGGCCCTATGGAATATTGTCATAATTAGAGTTGAGATGGAGTTTATTTATATTATTTTATAATAACACTATTGAGATGAAATACTTTAACGATAACATTTTAGTACGAGAAATAAATTGTTATAAATCATTTGTTTTTAAATTACCGAATTACAATAAAAATCTAAAACAAAAGAAAAGAAAAAAAAAACACACACACACACATTAGGCCTTTTAAAGAACGGTAAATGGCAAACACCAATTTCATTACCAATGATTATTGTGCTTGATGGATGTTTTACAAATGTTAGATCAAAATTACTTTCCCTCTCGTCTCGTATATTTTCGTATTTTTAGATGCGTGAGCCTCTGTATATATACTCATTTAGAAAATACATCAGTTGAAACAAATATTAAAGGACACATTACAATTTTATTTTTTACGATTGTTCATCCAAAATACAATTAGACACTAAGATACATATTTTTTATTATTTTTTTTTAATAATTCATAATTATTCTCTTTTCTCTGTTAATGTAAAACAAATACTGTAGAAGCTCTGGCAGTATTTTTATTATTAAATAAGAAAAAATTGAGTTGCACATTACATACAACATGATAAAAATAAAGTTAATAAGTATAACTAATTTGCCGTATTTATTCGAATAAACGCCCCGAAACATTTATTATATTGTTGAGAAGGGGTTTTGAGGGTACTCGAGAGAGGTGTTTATTCGAGGCTATTTTTATTGTATAATATGGATACGTATACTCAAATAAACGCCCCTAATTTTTGACTGTAATTGTGGAGCTGTGGAACATAATTACCGTCAAAATGTGTTATTGCGTGGTTATAAGGACGTACTGATCCCAACCAGGTTAGAAAAAATGTAATTCTACTGGAGTGGAACATTAATAATAGAATGTAATGTTGCTTCCATTAGATTTGTTTGCAGTCATTTAAGGGGAGTAGCATACAGCACCTTGTATGAATTGTCAGAAATAAGACACGAATTTTGGACTTTTCACTAGTAACATTTTTAATTATGAAAAATATAATACATAACAATTGTACTTATACATATTTAATAAGACTTTTTAAAAGAAATGTCTAAGGTGTTTTTTTTAAATAAACGAATAAAGTCATTCAAATACTGTACATAGAAAATTGAGGGTGATATTTTATTACATTTAATTACATCTATTTTTTGTTTATTTTTTTTTTATTAATTGTAGTTAAGCTTCTTTCTGTTCTGGTTTTTAAAATTTCTTTTTTTTTTTTATATATATATAAACATCATGATGGAGTGCTATATAAATTATAGGACCCAATACAAAATGCACATTATAAACAGTTTTAAAGGCCTAAATAAGGAGTTCAGATAGGTAATTAAATCAATAATGATGTATATGTTTACTTAATATATGTGAATTATATGGATTTGTAGGCCTATGCCTACTTTTAAATACATTTTAAAAGTGTGTACTTATTAGACTAGGCCCAGGCCTAGGCGGCCTTAGCCTAGGCCTAGGCATGGGAATTAGACCAACACAATACATATATCGCCGTCGGCTAGCCTTAGACGAAAGATGTTTTTATCATTAAAAATACTTCTCAGTAGTAGTGCCCAAATTTGTTTTCGTTCTATTTTCATTAAGACCTATTTCATTTTTTTTTAACTATGACTTTGGATAGGCGACCGAAGCCTCCGCGCAGGCGTCTTCTCTGCAACGGTCTAACCTGCCATTGCCAAAATCAGCATCCACGCTGGCCTAGAATATTGTCATAATTTTAAGTTCACAACATTTGTATACTTTTCAATTTACTTTTCGTTTGATCTCGTCATGTTCGTCTTCGAATACTACACTAAATGTGTAGTAAAAATTGTATTAAAATCGATTCCGACAGGTAAAATCAGTGAATTTTTGAGCGGTGAAATTATAACCAACTATGAGCATCAAGTCTCTCTTTGGTTTTGTTTGGCTAGTTGCTATGTGATGACATGACGTGCGCGTAGAATAAGGAACATACGCATTAGGCACGTTCACATAAAGGTAGGCTCAGGTCGATTGTAAAATTGACAAACTTTATAGCTAGGTGTTTATTTTATTAAACAAATTCAGGTTTTAGCGACCCCAGTAATTTCATGTAAGCATTGACCCACATAGGCTTACGTCCAATTAGCAATAGGATAACTTAAGCCTAGATAGTTCTACAGTAGGCTTATTTTTATTACCCTACTTTCACTTTTGAGTTGGATGTAAACTAAAAATTTACTCTGCTTTTTAAAAATTGTTCATTTTTTTTTATCGAAAATGTAAATTAATAATAATAATTAATAATTTTTTCAGGTATACTTTATTCAATAAATAAGATTAGGCTTCATGTGTTAAATAATTTATTATTTAATATGTATTTCCCATATTGTCAAGAGACAAGAAAGAGACGGGCTGCCATCGCGACTTTTTGCGCAATTGAAGAGAAAAGTAAGAAAGTCCGCAACTGCTGGAGACGACCCTAGCTCAACGAACACGACGGGCAGGGCTTCTATTTCAATTTAATCGAAGAATTAAGACTAAATGACTACGAAAGCTATCGAAACTTTTTTCGAATGTAACCTTCCTAGTTCCAAAATATCGTGGAGAAAATTGAGCCGCATATTCAACGTCAAGACACAAATTTCAATAAATGTGTCTCATCTGGTGAACGCTTAGCTGTGACGTTGCGCTTTTTAGCAACAGGTACCGTCGGGTGGTATACAGTGTTCGATATTCGATATTTCCTTCAGTTCATAAGTAAATGACTAATAAGCAATGGCCATTGTTAGTTCATTTAGTAAACATTTAATTCAATAAATAAATACATATTAACATACAGTTACATAACATCACTGTCTGGCCTAAATAATACAGCATTAGATTTTTTTTTTTGCAGGTGAAACTTTCAAAAGTTTATCATACTCTTTCCGCTTTGGCGCGACAACAATTGGCACAATTGTTCCTGAAACGTGCCAAGTAATTTATGACGTTCTTAAAGAAGAATATTTGAATGCAAGTACTGTACATTATTTTAAATCATGCAAATTATTATTTATATTTCATTTAATAATGTATTGTTAAAACCTCTTTTATTCATAAGGATGTGCAATTGATGTCAGTTGGTCTATATATGACCTACTGGTGTTCGCCAGCTCGTCTATTTCTGCCTGAAAAATTGTTTGGTTGATTGTTTGAATCACATTCAATTTCCTCAGCTTACTTAATTTTTTTAATTTGGCAACTACATATCAATCAAAAAAGTCATCTTCATCCTCCACCTGTTGTGGGAAAACAATTGGCTCAGATATTGACTTAGCAATTGTCTCCAAATAGTCCGAGTCTTTTTTTTCTTTTCATAGTTAGTTTTCTTTGGTTGGGACCAACGTTTCTTCGTTTGGAATCCTCTGGTTTGGATGTGGCATTAGCGAACGCGTGAGGCGTCATACTTGATGAAGTCTCCTCTGGTATGGTTACCTCGTCTGCTGAGTTCCAGCTCGTCGTATTCCTCTTCATCAGCTATCTGTATCATAATAATAATTAAAAAAAAATAATCATGTTTAAACCTTAAAACACATATTTAGATATTTAATTAGGTCTATCTTTAATTTTTTTTTTTATTATTTTAGATGCCACAATCGGAAGTAAACTGGAGACGGATAGCCCAGCAATTCCACAGCAAATGGAATTTCCCAAACACGCTAGGTGCTATAGACGGGAAACATGTAGCATTAATGGCTCCCAACTACAGTGGGTCGTTGTACTATAATTATAAGAACTTTTTTAGTATTGTGCTTACGGGACTCGTCGATGCCGATTATAAGTTTATTTATGTCGTCTGGGCTGCAATGGGAGGATTTCTGATGGCGGTGTTTTTGCTGGTTGCACATTGTTAGAGGCGTTAAATAGAAGGCTGTTAAGCATTCCTGAAAGTGATCCTCTTTCGGGAACTGATGACAACTCATCATTCCATATTCTTGGAAATGAAGCATTTCCATTGAGAACAGATCTTCTAAAGCCATTTCCATTTCGCAATTTGACGTACGCCCAAAGAGTTTTTAATTACAGGCTTTCGAGGGCGAGGAGAGTGGTGGAGAACGCCTTTGGCATTTTGGCAATGAAGTTTAGAGTTTTCTTAACTCGTTTTAATCTTTATCCAGAAAAGGCATCGCAGTTAGTCATGGCTTCATGTACATTACACAATTATTTGCGTAATGATCCCTACGTAGCACCAGGATTACTTGACTACGAAGATAACAACCATAGACTGGTTAAGAAAATCCCCTTAAATCAGCTGGTTTGCTGCAGAGTAACAAAGCCGGACGGCAACCCAAAGAAAAGAGGATCCAGCTTATGGATTATTTCATCAGCACAGCCGGAGCTGTATCTTGGCAAGCCGGAATGATTTGAACAAAAATGGTTTGATTAGCTTCGTAAAGAAATATAATACTGTACACTGCATGCATTTAAATCGCAGCAACTTTGTTTAAAATAATTGTCATTTTATTATAAGTAAAGGTGTGTGTGTTGTTTTTCATTATTATTATTATTATTTATTTTAATTAATAATAATAATTGTATAATTACCTGGAAGGATGAGATGGTTTCTTTTGCTTTTGTGTGAGGCTTCAAGAAACCTAATTCTCTAATTATCCAATTCTGGTAGCCAGTCCAGCATAGACGCCCGCTGCCAGATGATGCCTGTTTGTTTAGTCGACAGAATTGAGTTTTTAAAGATTTCATTTTCTTCGAAATCTCATCAACTGCAAATAAATGTTTGAATGCTTGTAAGATTAGACGTGTGGTTAAAAATAATAAAATTATTT